GGGTTTAGGGTTTAGGGTATTTTTGCAAAACCATGGGGGGATATGGCGATTATCACATGGAGACTCTGCTCAAACCCCTGTATTCGGCTAAGGCGCAGCAGTGGCCTTCTTGGTGGAGGTTTTAATCACTGACATCTGGGCCCTAAACCCTAAACCCTAAACCCTAAACCCTAAACCGGCGACTCGTGAGATGCTGGAAAATTCAGGCTCCTACGAGGGTGTGGCTCTTGCAGAAACAGAAACAACCCTGAACACGCTAAACCCTGGAGCCCGAACCGGAAGCCACATACCTATCCTAACCCATGAACTCTAAACCCCAAAATGACAAGTCAAGGCTCCGTGAGCTTCGACGAAAGCTCCGATGGAGTCCTGCAGAAAGCGCGCATCTTCGAACCATTAGCCTCTACTCTGCATGTCCGAGCATGTGCAGGTGAAGAAACAGGCTTAGCTCAGAGTGTGTGTGTGTGTGTGTCAGTGTCTGTGTGAGTGTATGTGAGCCCGCGAAATGAGCTATGAATTTGTATGAATATGTGTATCCATACATGCATCCCTCCGTCTCTCGATCCCGCCAGGCATCCGTGCATCCCTCAGCTTATCCCTCCGTCCGTCCATCCATCCATGCATGCATCCAGGCAGGCATGCATAGAGAAATGTACACTGGCATGCGCACACACACACACGCACAAACTTATGCGTACGTGTGCAATGTATGTGTGTAACAACGTATAGATAATGTATAGAATGTATATAAAGTATATAAAAACCCATACACACATACATACATACTACAACCACACACACACAATACTCACATACTTATATATGTATATACACACATATGTATGTACGTATGCATGTATGTATACATAAATGTATGCGAATATGTATGCATGTGTGTGTATGTATGTATGTATGTATGTATGTATGTATGTATGTATGCATGTATGTATGTATCTATGTATGTCCATATGTCTGTGTACCCATGCATGCATACATACATACACTTACATACATACGTATTTACATACATGTAACATACTCAGGGTCATATACATGCATAGATACAGACAGCTTAGATATAGATATCAAGGTAATTATGAAGAGATAGCTGAACATCACAATATATATATATATATATGTATGTATGTATTTATACGTTTATGTTTTTTGACAGGTGTGTGTGTGTGTGTGTGTGCGTGTGCATGTACGCATGTGTGCGTGTGGGCGTGTGTTGCGTGTGTTGCGTGTGTTGCGTGTGTTGCGTGTGTTGTGTGTGTGTGTGTGTGCGTGGGTGTTGTGTGTGTGTGTGTGTTGTGTGTGTGTGTCGAGCGTTGTGCGCGTTGTTTGTGTTGTGCGTGTTGTGTGTGATGTGTGTGTGTGTGTGTGTGCTGTTTGTGCTGTTTGTGCTGTGTGTGCACGAATATTTGATAAAAACGAAGAGCTATTTCTGCGTGGTCAGCAGCTCCTCGATAGAGAGTATTCAGACCAAAGTATGCAAGTCTCAGGACCTTGCGATGTGACCTTGGGGGCTTGTAGGGTATTATGGGTGTGTCCCAGCATGCGACGACCTTGCTCCATGTCTGAACACTTCAGCAACAAATCGAGATTTCCACCATCAATGCACCATGAGTCTGCATGATGCTCACTCGCACGGTGCAGTTGTCGGTGCGACCATGAAAGAGCCCTACCATGCTCACAACAAAGATGCGGCGACTGGCAACCTGATTCAGAACAAATGAGTCGAGCAGGGGAAACAACTTTCAATTGTCAACAATCGACACACGGGCCGCCTCCGACCCGAAGCCCTTTGCCCAGTCAACCCGTTATCAGCCTGAAGCCTAAACCTAAACCCTGAACCCCAGCACCCCATCTGCTACTCCTCCTCCCCCAAGCCCAACCTGCTTGCTCTGGCCCTCGCTGGGCGCCCACCGGAGTTGCAGAGCGCGGCCGTCTGGGTGGTTCACCTCCATGAGATGATTTGGGCGAATGTGGCAGTATAGTTCTGCTGCTGCTGGTCCCTACTTACATCCTAAGTTACATCCTAACCAAACTGCAAGGGCTTACAGTGTATCTATCTCAACTCCTTTAAATGGAGTTTTGTCAGAAGGGTTCAAATTTGACCCCCAAATCTACACAGGCCCTACAACCCCGTCCTGGACATTGCACACAGGCGCTGGGAGCTCTCGATCAACTTCGCTGCCTTCGATGCTCCACAAGAGAATTAGGAGTTTCTCGAAGTAGAATTAGGTTCACTGGGTCTTAGGTTTAGGGTTTAAGGAAACCTACACCCGAAACCGTTCACTGGGTTCTGCTGTTTAAGTTTCCACACTAAAATCGTAGCTGCAACTGAAACTAAATTCCCTGGTGTTCAGGATAACCACAGCTTCAGGTTATATTCGTAGGACCCGCTGCTTCATTGAACAAGCTTGGCAGAAGCTGGCTTGGTTTGGGCCTTGGGTGTTGCTGCCAGGGAGCATTTTCGAGGTTACCTATAGGCTCCATGGCAGTTCCTTTTTGTGGTTCAACAGGATGCGCTCTTAGTGAACCGATGCCTTCAAGCAAAGTCCAATAATCAGCAATAGAGTTTCCAAATCAAACCCGTTACCCCAAATCCTCTAAGTCCAGACCCTAAACCCTAATCCCAAGCTAACTATTCAAGTGCGGTTTCAACTTCAACGACTCAGCCCTACACCGAATTAAACCCTTATAAACCCTAAACCCCTACGTAAACCCTACAGTAAACCCTTAACCGTCAGTAAACCCTAAACCAGACAACCCCTATCCTTCAAGGTCGTGAAAAGTTTGCGGAATCGGTTGGCTCGCCTGTATCCAGCTGAAGCCACAAAACCAGGGAATGCCGCTCCCCGCGAGTTACCTCGTCAACTTTAGGGTTTAAGGTTCGGCGGTTTAAGGTTTAGGGTTCAAGGTCAAGAGTCGGGGTTCAGGGGTTTAGGGTTAAGGTCCCCAGAAAGTTGGAACATGGATTTATGGGAGTCCCGATACTCTATCTGGGCTAAAGGACTTGCCGGCTTCCCAGAAAGACGACGCTGGTGGGATTTACGGCTATTTATGATCTAGGGTTTAATGCAACTAAAGATATTTAGTGTGTGCCTTTTCCTCCATTGACGTTCCTTTTTGTTGGGTTGCCTTATTTCGCCGCTTCCGGGTCCTGACTATAAGGCTCGTTGACCAAACTGGGTAGGATACACATCCCTTAACCGTAGAACCCCCTTACCAACAGTGGTGTGTTTGTGGACTTTGAGGTATGGGAACAGAAGGACGGTAGGGAGTTTGAACACACATCTCTGTAGGACCTTCTCTTCCTGCTCCCTGCCTGATGCCTGCATCTTTTTTGGTAGTTCTTGCGACAGTGATCCATGCATTCCTTCCTGGAGCCTTACGTCAACCCACCAGAACCTACTTTTTTGTAGGGCTTTTGTAAGTCCCATATTAGGTTTAAAATCAGAATCTACCAAATAAGTGGGTTTTGGTATGACAAGGCCATTTCATACAGGCCCCATGCAATGTCTCTACTGCCAAGGATCCCTCCGTCCTCACGAGAGACAAGCAACCAACAAACACAGCGTTTTGGTTTTAGGTTACATCGTTACGGCTTGGGGTTTAGGCTTTAGGGTTTAGGGCCAAAGTTTAGGGTTTGCCTTGGCGGACTACCGTCGTCAATGCTCAACACCTAAGACCAAAGTGGAGACTGGGCATCCGGGCCGGCGTCACCCGGTGTGTAGCGTGGGAAGGGAACATGATCGCCTGACCCGCTTCGCGCGATGCGTTCACCTGGGAAGTGCCCCCGCAACCCTCGCTGCATGCTCCGTTTACGCCTTGTTGCGCATGTAATTACATGATTTATGTGTCTGAGTTCGCCAAACTCTCAGAGAGCATGCAGGGCCCAAAACCCTCAAGCTCGAAAAGTGTACAACTTGATTAGGGTTTCGGTTTAGGGTCGTTGACAACGCAGGCGGGATTTGACGACGATCCAAGCCTGGTCTGATCACCTGGACCTTGCACCTGCACTTCCTTTCTGTGCCTGGTGCCAGTATCTGCGATCTACGGAAACACCCCAATGCTAGAGGGTAAGGGCCCTAAATCCCTAAACCTAAACCCTAAACCCTAAAACCCTAAACCCTAAACCCTAAACCCTAAATCCTAAAACCCTGAAGCCCTGAACCCTAAAGCCCTAAACCATAAAAACCCTAAGTCCTAAAACACTACACCCCATCCATGCTCCGCCAGTCCCAGCACTTTCTTAGAAAACGAGCCCTCCGCGCAGGCCCGAAGCTGGAAATCCTGGAAGCCCCTAGCAGCCCTCAGTCACGTAGCCCTGAGGGTTTAGGGTTCAGGGTTCACGGCTTAGGGCTCAGGTTTCAGGGTTTAGGGTTTAGGTGGCTGCGCCGACCGGGTTCGCATGTTCGGCATGTGATGTGGGCGAGGGGGTGGAGCTCGGTGTCCGGAATGACTGCAGGGCCGCCACCCCTACAACGAGCCACCCGGATCTGTTTCGCGAGCTTACCAAGCGCTTCACCTCGGCCTCCACATGCGGCTTAGCAAGCCGGTGGGTGTAAGAGCACCACCCTTGCTCTCGGCTTGGTAATGCAGCTCTAAGCCCGCCGCAGCCACCCCGCGTCAAAAGGGCGCCAGTTCTGAGGGCAAATGCAGTCCGTCGGGCCCGTGATAACGACAAGTTAAGGCGCCAGCGTCATCCGCATCTTCAATGCGGAGCGAATCAGACGCCGTTTGGCGACTCCATGAGCCAGGTGATCCAGCTGCGCACGGAAAGGAGACTCGAGAAACTGGCACAGGCAACATTTCTTCGTGGAAGGAGCGCTGCGAAAGATCGGACCTGAGTAGAGCAACAGATGGAGCGGGCAACGCGCGGAGAATCCGAGCACGTAGCGAAGTTTCGTCTCCAGGGACGTTAAAATAGCAGGTGGGAGACCCTTGCAGCGAAGCCCATCACAAGAACAGAGATCTGGAAAAATTCCTGAATCCAGTTGACAGGCGTATCAAGATGCTCTTCTCGCGAGAAGCGAGAAGTGAACATCGTCTTCTGCTCCTCCGCTGACGCTGCCCTGAGCAAGAAGAAGGGTCTTGGTGGCGATTGTTTGCTCAGAGACGACCTGGCCATGGCGTCGATCAAGTGCGTTGGCTGGCACAAAACCGCACGGCACGTAGCTTCTCCTCTCCCATTCCCTGCCAGCATTAGTCAGCCTTGTTCTTCCTCCGGGCAACCCGACGGTGTGCAGGGTTGCGAGCATGCGGGAGCTTGACTTCGGCGGTGCCTGTTTCGGCTTGAACTTTACTTCATCTGTTTCGTCTGCACCCCGCCTAGGCTTGCCACTGGCAGCATCGAATAGCCCTTATAGCCCTTGGAGTCAGGCGTTTCCAACGCCTGTAACAGCTCGGGCGGCCAGTCCGGCTTAGACACAGCAGCGACAGTACAGAGACAGACAAGTCACGAGGTTTTCGCCCTGGCCCTAAACCGTCCAATTCATCTTTGGGCGAGCATGGCCTGATCGGAACAACCTGACATGGGCTGAAGCAGCTTGACCAAAGCCTAAACTCTAAACCCCTAAGACTAAACCCTGAGCCCACAAACCTTGATTCCCCAAACCCTCAATCCAAGAAAAAGGTAACATAGGGGCCTCAAAAATTAGAATAAGGTTTTGGGGTATATAATAATAAAATTAGAATAGGGAACCCCCAAAATAATATAGGTAAGTATTGAGACCCCTACATTAGGATCAGACCCCTAGTTGCTGCCGAAGGACATCGTTGCCTCCAAAACGGAACTGGAGGTCGCCTCCCTGCGGAGGGCTTTGCCCACGGGTTTTTTGTTCGGGGTTTAGGGTTTAGGGTGTTTGTTCGGGGTTTAGGGTTTAGGGTTTGTGTTCGAGGTTTAGGGTTTAGGGTGGGGTGTGGGCTCTATAGAAGCACTTCCCCTCTAGACCTTTCTCTTCTGATTCTCTTCCGGTGGTCGAGGTTGGGTTTTTCCGATTCTTTTTGATGTGGCGCCCACACCCTTCCGGCCTGGGTCGTGGTCCGGACACTCTAACTCTAGGGTTTAGGGTTTAGGGTTTAGGGTTTAGGGGTTTAGGGGTTCAATCTTGGCCTCGTAAGCCTCTCCATCGCTCAGCTGCACAGAAACAGAGAGGGCCCGTGATGCCGTCTCGGAGTGGAAGCCAACGTCCTTTCAAAACCAAATCTCAGCTCTACCTTCAGAACCCAAAACCTACTTTTTGTAGGATCCCTATAAAATACATATTAGGGTTTATAATAAGAACCTACAAAAAGTGGGTTTGGGGTTCTTAAGGTAGCGTTTTAGGGCTTAGAGGCCTGAGATGGCCTGAGGAATTTGCTGCTATTATGGTTTAGGGTTTAGGCTTTAGGGCCTAGGGTTAAAGTTTCGGGTTTAGGGTGTAGGGTTAAGGGTTAACGTAACTACACCCATCGACCCGGCAAACCTTGCAAAGAGAACGAACTCTGTGCCGAACAGTATGCACGCGTTCGGGCTTATGAGGACGGCACCACGTTGAACATGGTCTTGAAGATGACTATGATCAGGGTGCTGAAGATGACATTGAATCATCTGAAGACCCGAAACAAGGGACACCCTAATCCCAAACGTCCTAAACCCGAAACTCTGAACGAGGCTGCTTCATGGACTAAGTCTAAACCCTAAACCCTAAACCCTGTAAACCCTATAACTCCTAAACCCTGTAAACCCTATAACTCCTAAACCCTGAACCCTGAACCCAAAACCCAAAACCCTGAACCCAAAACCCAAAACCCTATAAATCGTAGCATGATCGAAAAATCAGGATTGTCCATGGGATCCTCGAGTTCTTCATGCGCGTGGTTGTGGCTGCAGCTCTTTTGCCCAAGCCTGTGAGTAATGTAGGGGCCTTAATAATTTTTGTGGGGTTTTGGGGCCCCGTATACTATAGACATACTAAGGAACCCCCTAGCATAGTGTAGGTAGTGATGAAGGCCCCTATATTAGGACCCTGAAGCCTAAAGTTTCCGTCGCAGCTTTCTCCTGACATCCCGCCTACTAGGATGGCCCATTAAAGCCTTTGAAAAATATTCGCTCATAAGATCTGATCCTCTTTAAGGCCAATAAGAGAAGATAAAAAATGTCCCAAAGACCTACTTAGGCCTATTGTATGCGGTAGTGACGTTTTGCACGAACCAGGAGTCAGCAGCTGCCAAGCCACGAGCCGTCAAGTGTAAACCCAAGACTAAGAAGCTACGTCCACCCGCCGTCCTCATGCCAGCTATATCCTCCTTAGCTGCACCGTGGATCAAACTGTCCAAACCCTGAACAAATCTCAGAGATCTGCGAAAACAGCGCAGACAAACAGACTTCCTCTGCCTGCCGGCCTGCCTACCTGCCTATCGGCACACAGACACACAAACATACAAAAATGCACATCCGCTTCTGCCGAAACTCGTAGAACCTGCCCTGTCCCAGAGTCGGTAACCCGCGCTCTACGCAAACCTCTGAAGTTCTGAGCTTTGTCCAAAAGGCTCGAATGTAGGGGCCTTAATACTTAGAATAGGGTTTTGGGGCCCATTATACTATAATCATAATAAGGAGCCCCCAAAAATAGTAGAGGTAATTATTACAGCCCCTTTATATTGACTGACCTTTAAAGGCTTTTGGGTTGAGAGCTTAAATTTCAGATTTAGGGATAACGGCCTTGCAGCCCAACACCATGACACAGGGAAGGTTCTCAGGGCTGTGTTTAGCTTTGGGGCTTAGACCCTACCTATAGTCTCCATTGTAGTTCCTTTTTTAGTCTCCATTGTAGTTCCTTTTTTGGTTTAACCAATATAGACTAAGGAGTTTATAAGGTGTCGCCAAAAAAGCAACTACAATGGAGACTACAAGGTAAGGTTCCGAAGCCCTGAAAATTTCGTCAGACTCATCTCGAGCTGTTGCGGCTGAGTCTCCCAAGTCAGATGCAGCGTAGATGGAATACTGCATGAACTCCATCGTTCCTTCGTTCAGGCTTTGGAAACCCTAAACCCTAATTTGTTCAGGCTTTGGTTCGGCTTCAGGCTCAGTTACGAGCTTTGATGTTTAGGTTTAGGGTTTGGGTCGGCTTCCCTGGTTGAATGCTTGGGGCCTATGGTACTTGCAAACTCGCGGTTTAGGGTTTAGGGTTNNAGGGTTCAGGGTTATGGGTTCAGGGTTTAGGGAAAACTCGCGTGTCTCATGGTGCTCCGCTACAGCAGCGCTATGGTGATTGCTTCCCACTACAGCTCCGGAGGGTCCAAAGACCCGGACCCAAACCAGGGGTACTGTAGCGGCCTTCATAATTCCCTATACTATTTTGGGGCTCCTTATCGTAATTATAGTATACTGGGCCGCCCAATAACCCTATTCTAATTGTGAAGGCCCCTATATTAGGCAGGTTTGCAGAGTGCCGGAGATAAGAGGGTCGTGCGATCGGCTGGGCGGGCGAGCGGGCGGAAATAAAAGGGTAGTTCTCGAAACGAGGGTCCCTTTAATTAGATCCCAAAAGAGTACGGCACCAGAGAATATCCCAGCCACCTGGCGCGACAGCAAACCGCCACAGCTTCTCCTTGGGTGGGCACAAAACTTTCCAGTCCAAGGTAGGGGTTTGATTAATGTAGGGATTAATAACTAGAATAAGGTGCCTCCTTGTTATATTGACAGTAAACTATCCCCCCAAACCCTATTCTAACCATTAAGACCCCTATATTACGGGTTTAGGGTAGTTTAGGGCCTACGGCTTGTACAGCCCTAAGTACCCAGTATCAACGGTGTTAAGACCCACGGCATAGATTAAAGGTACTTCGGGGGTCCTGTCACTAGTGTTCTGGGTTTAGGGTGCCAGGACAATGGTAGCTTTGCCAGGACAATGGTAACTTAAGAAAGAAATGCACGGCAATGCCCTGCATGACGTCCAAAACCCACCACCCTGCCAGGAAAAGCACCTGGTCACGCCTAGTCGCATTGGTGGCGTTGATTTGGTCCCATAGAACTGGGCCGGGTTGTTTAGAGCTCAGGGCACAGAGGTTGCGGTACCGGGTTTAGATCCTGAAACAACCTTGAAAGATCAGACAAGTTAAGGCTCAAGCTGGCTTGAAGGGAGCCAACATGATCAGTTAAGCGAGGCTTTTCTGTTTGAGGGCCTAGAAAATTCCGCCATATCGTTTAAGTCGGCAGTTTTCGCGCAACTACACTACGGAGCTGTGGCCTCTAATCCGTACGGCCTTACGGTGTTGGAGCAAAAGTGAAGGTCAACATGACTTAGTGACAACTATCCATAGCGGGCCATATTCCATTATTAAGGCCCCGATGTTGCAAGTAAGCCCCACATCTCAGCAACTCCGAGATCGTCGAGTCTGCACTCAGACCCGTCTCTATATCTGCTGTTGACCAGACCACTGAACCCTGTAATTCTCCTGACAGCAACCCTAAACCCTAAACCCTGAACACCTGAAGCCGACCAGAACCCAAAACTCCAAAACCCAAGCACCAGATGCTAAATTGGAAACCCTGGAGTCTAAACCTCTTCAGAAAATCTAGGGGCCCTGATAATTAAGAAAAAGGGGTTTGGGGGGTCCATTATACTATAAGGATAAACAGGAACCCCCGCAATATCTATCTGGTAATTATTGAGGCCCCGTTTTTCAGAGAAAAGGCAAAGTAAAAGCGGAGAAGCCACCCCAAGACGATTTTGGTTTGTTCTGGAAGGACTAGGGCTTTGCCCAATGTCCGACCACCCTACTAGTCTCGAATCTGTAAAGTCTCAATTCCTCCGCTGGAAAAGAGGACTTCAAAATTCAAGTAGCAGGCCTCCTTCGGCAGCATCTCAACTAAAGCCCCGATAGGTAACAACAAGATCTGAAACCTTGAATCAAACAGCCCTCGAGACTAGGACATAACCCCTAAAACCTAGCCTAAAGACTACAATCCTTTCAGCCCTGCAGAATTCTCCGGCGGCCCTCCACCCACCTAAAATATCATACAAGCCCTCAAAGCTCCAAGCCCTCATGAACTCGGCAAATCTAGAGCTTAGAGCTTAGGGTTTAGGGTGTTAGAGTTTAGGGCTGCAATTTCTAGGATTAAGGGATCATGGGGTTTGTAAGTATTAAACCCACGATTTAGGGTTTATAGGGCTTATGAGGGTTCCCCCTAAACCCTAAACCCTAAACCCCTAAGGGGCTTAGGCAGCCCGGGTGCGCTGGTAGACTTGGCTGTAGAAGAAGCTCCTGCACTGCAAGCGAAGCACCAGGGTTTAGGGTTTAGGGTTTTGGGTTTAGGGTTGAGGGTCTCGGGATGGGCTAGTATAGGGGCCGATAAGAATTGCCTATACTATGTTGGTGGTTCCTTGATATAGTTATAGTATCAAATACCCCCAAAACCCTATTCGAATGATTGAGGCCCCTAACTTACTTGTGTTTTGGTTTTAGGGCTTACGGGTTTAGGGGTTAGGGGTTTGAGGGTCTAAGGATGTATGTAAAGGTTTAGAGGTTCATGTAATTATTTTGGCCCCTCTAGTACAGTTATGTCGCACGTGGACCTCACAATATATCAGCGAATGCTGTTGAGCCTCTGCTGGGGTGGTACGATCACAAACCCAAAGGGTCCTAGGTACTGTTATGGGGGTGATACTTTGCCACATCATAATATTTAATCCTAATATCGAAACCCTACATTCTACTATATAGGTAGTTAGGACCCTTTGGGAAATCAAGAACTCTGCAAGATTCTATGCAGATCCCAGACCTCCGAAAAGACCAGTCCTGTAGCCTCCAAACCCTCACAGGCCCTAACACCTCCAAAGAACCCAACACAATCCTAAACCCTAAACCCCTACATGCCTCTAAGCCCCAAAACCCTAAACCTTAAACCCTCAGACCAGCGACGTTTTCGGTACTCCAGCAAATTTCGCACGACGCGACCTGACATGTCAAGCTCTGGGCGGTGCTTTGAACATTACGTGACTGAAGGGATGGACGATTAGAATAGGGTTTTGGGGTTCCTTAAAGGGTTCCATAAGGGCTACTAAAAGGGTTTAATGTAGGGGCCTTCACAATTAGAATAGGGTTTTGGGGTCTGTTATACTAGAATTAGAATGAGGAACCCCCAAAATGATGTAATTAGGCAATTATTAAGGCCCCTATATTATGTTGTGTAGGGCTTAGCATGTCAGAGTTTCAGAACATGAAAGACCCGTTAAACAAACACTGAAAACAGAAGATGTGCAATCTACGGACGCCTGAATAAGAGTGTATCCTAGCTTTGGGAGCTAGGATTAGGGGGACCCTTGGGGATATAGACCCTCTCAATAAGGTCCCTTTAAGAGAGCCAAAAGTAGGGTTCAGAAGGGGTACCCTTTAAGGGGTACCCCTATAATAATAATACTACCCAAGCTTAGGAGATCTGGGTGTTGTTTCCAGTACCATCCCAATCGAATTAGTCTACAGCTTGGCCCAGAAATGGTGCCTCATGGAGGTCTTTCAGTCTGTAGACATTATAGACCTCGAGCAAGGAAGCATGGTTTAGAGCATCAGGGTATGTATGTATGTACATACTTAAGCAGGCAGGCAGGCAGGTAGGTATTCGCGTAATGTAGGGGCCTTAATAATTAGAATCGGGTCTTGGGGGTTCCTTATTGTACTTATAATATAACATACCCCAAACCCTACTCTAATCATTAAGGCCCTACATTCAATCCTTAGAGTAGCCCTTATTGAACCCTTTAAAGAACCCTTTAAAGGAACCCCAAAACCGTTTTCTAATTACTAAGGCCCCCAAATTACTTATGTCGTTTCCGGTCAGCTGTGCGCTTCACAGGAATAAAAGAAGCAAGCGGCCCACGCTGGGCTTTCACGCCATGGGAGCCCACGGACCCACTGCCGACCTGGCCGGTTTTTCTGGGGTGTGGGGATTAGGGCTTTGGGGGTTCAAGGAGATTGGGTTTAAGGGTTTAGGATTTAGAGGTTTAGGGGTTCAAGGTTCAGAGGTTTAGGGTTTAGGGTTTAGGGCTTTGGGGGTTCAAGGTTTACAGGTGTTTTTCTTGGAACCCCTGATCAGGTTTAAGGGTTTAGGGTTCAGGGGTTAAAGGGTCAAGGTTTAGAGGTTTCGAGGTTTAGGGTTCAGGGTTTAGGCTTTGGGGGGTTCAACTTTTAGAGGCGTAGGGTTTAGGGTTTAGGGGTTCTAGGTTCAGAGGTTTAGGGTTTAGGGTTTAGGGGTTCTAGGTTCAGAGGTTTAGGGTTTAGGGTTTAGGGGTTCTAGGTTCAGAGGTTTAGGGTTTACGGTTTAGGCTTTAGAGGTCTAGGGTTTAGGGTTTAGGGTTCGGGGCATGGGGTTCATTCAGGGTGTGGGGCTTTAGGGCTTAATTGGGTTGCACGTCACAGGGCCCAGCAACCATGCACGACTACAAGACAACATCATCGAGAAATTATCATGTCCTCCAAAGTGCCAGCAAGATTTGGGGGTTAAGGGATTAAGAGGCTTAGTCTTGGGTTTGGGAGATATGTGTGAGTAATATGTCCGCCTGCTTAGCTTTGCGGTTTCGGGGCCAACTCTCGCATAGAGGATACGAGCTTCAGGGTCTGGTGTGTGGGATGAGTCAGGCAGGATGAGGCTTTGAGGCTTGAAATGGGGGGCCTTAGTAATTAGCGTTGGGTTTTGGGGGTATATTATACTATAAGTAAAATAAGGAACCCCCAAAAAGTATATGTAATTATTAAGGCCCCTATATTAAACCCGGACTCCTGGCGTATGTTGGGATTTTGCTCCTATCGACTCAAACCACCGAGGCCAAAACCCTTCAAACCCCAGCCTAGAGCCCACACAGAAAGCCCTAGACTAAACCTTCTAGGGCTTATAGGGTTGAGGGTTTTAGGGCCGCAGAGCCTGCAGATCCAGTTGATGGATCCCAGAATCCCACTCCACATCGAAACACAAAGCCCCTAATCCCCAACTCCATCCCTAAATTACCCCTCAAACCCCTAAACCCCTAAACCCTAGTCCCTAAACCCCTAAACACGTCCAAGGAGCCGTGGCTTCCGTGAACTGCAGCTCGGACGCTGCACGGCGCCGGATTTTTTGACCTCTGGATCTGCGCGCGAAGCCCAGGGACTCTCCGAACATAATGTAGGGGCCTTCATAAATAGGGTGGGTGTTGGGCTCCTTTATAGTATAATTATAATAAGGAGCCCGAAGGAATAATATTGGCAATTCATTTGGCTTCCATAGTAGAAACCAGGGTATGAGTGCTGGGGCTGAGGGTTGCAGGGCCTTGGGGTTTGGGGCATAATTCAGCATTTAGGGGCGTAATTCAGGTTTTAGAGTTTCGGAACATCACGCCCGTCACGCCCCGCCGGCAAGAAGTACACGACACCAGGGAGTTACGCTCTCTAGAGATTAGGGTATATTTCTTGGTTTGGGGTTTTATACTAGAGTACGGAAGACGTTGGATGCCATGCAGACATGCATGTCCATGCAGGTACTCAGGATCATATACTCTCCCAAATATGAACCGCTAGATAGCTATTTGCCTTAACCAAAGCACCTTATTGTCCGGTCCTTAGGTCCAAAGGACCCAATTAGGTACTTAGGTTTCGGATAGTAGTTATGTAGGTTACGACTTGTGAAATTATGTGATAACTAAGTACTTGGACCCTTAGGGTGAAACTCTAAACCCTAAACCCTAAACCGTATGGCAGACCGGCGGCTTTCAACCAACAGCCGAAGATCATGAAGGACTATGGCGGGCTTAGGGTAGAAAGGTTAGGGTTTAGGGTTTAGGGTTTGGGGATTAGGGTTTAGGGTTTAGGGTTTAGGGCTACACCATAAAGGGCTCGAGCACTTCGATCAGAAGCTAACCAACTAAGCATATGAGACTGGCAATTTGGGATTTAGGGTATAGGGATTTCGGGCTTAGGTAAAGCCAGGCACATAACGAGTCGTTTAACAAACGGTAACAACCATCCTACACAGTTTCATCCTAAGCCGTGTACACCAGCCCCTAAACCGCTAAACCACTAACCAAAAACCTAAAACCCCAAAGCCCCCGAAGCCCTGAACCCTAAACCCTGAATCCTAAACCTTTTGAACCCGAAAACCCGGAACCCCGAACCCTAAACCCTAAACCCTATACCCTAAACCTGAACCCTAAACCCTAAACCCTAAACCCTAAACCCTAAATCCTAAACCCTAAACCCTAAACCCTAAACCCTAAACCGAACCCAGGGCTGAGGCTCGGGGTCTTGAGTTTGGGTAAAAAGACTATCGAGTGGACCGAGATGCACTGTGCCGGTGTGAGCAGCGGCTGCGCCTGCAACAGAGTTCGCTGGTTCGATGCATCTTCGTTTGGGGTTAGGGTTTAGGGTTTAGGGTTTATAGGGTTTAGAGTTTAGGGTTTATGGGATTTAGGGGCATCTTCGTTTGGGGTTAGAGTTGAGGGCTTTGGGATGCTAATTCTTCTTCTTGCCCGTGGGATTGTGCTGGTTATCATTCATCATTGGCCATTCATCTTCTGCATGTACTACGATTACACCGACCCCGATTTCCACTTCCTCTACCACCCCCACCCCACCGCCACTCCCTCTCCCGCTCCCAACTCCCTCTCCCGCTCCCTGCTGGATGCGGAGTTGCGCCTTCGTGTCTGCCTGATTTCCCTTATACCTATACCCCGGAAAGCCCACCACCTTAAACAAGGTCACGTGCTGATAAAAA